GATGCTGTTGTTAGCCTTAAAGGAGAGTAGCATGGCCCTTTCATTCTTTCTAAATTTAATTTTGATAATGTGAATGGCAGTAAATAAATCATTGTGGAAGTGTAGACTTAATTTCTGAGAGGTCCCCAGATTTGTGCTATATGAAGGATTAAGTAGGTTAGTTAGAGGCACATTATGATTAATTCTTTTTGATAATCTCAAGGAACAAAATTGGTTTGCAGACACTTTTACCAGAAGTTGAATCTTGCATCAGAAGCTCTCGATCAGGGCAGGTTGGATTACAGATTTATCCTGTGCACTGGTGCTGCTGCTTAAGCATCTTATGTACTGAGAGGTTAGAACATCAAAGAGAGGGTGCCCAGTGTCTGCATTTCACTTTATATTTAAGTTGGTAATTAAGGGCCAGAGTGTAGCAAAACCCATTTTTGAAAAGTCACTTCATCTTTATTTGGGGTTAATTGCATTAATGCTCACAGCTTGACAGGCTTGGTTCATGACAGGAATTTAAAAAACAAAGTTGTAGGGGATATGCAGCCTTCAGCATTGTCTGAAAGTCCTAATTCCCAAGTAATCCTGTTGTTCATGCTCATGAAACCGCCTACAAAACAGCACCTTTGAGCAGTGCTTAAGTTTATTTTTAAAGGCAGTGTAATTGTGTGCTGTTGGCTTCTAACTTGAGCAAAATGGGAAGATTTTCATGCAGATCTGCACAGAGATTTGTACAGAAAGGAGAAGCACGTGTGGGTGAAGCAGGATGAAGTGGGACTGCAGCTGGTTCCTGGTGGGAATTCAGAGGACAAGGAGGATTTTGGGTTCTGGCACAAATCTCAGTGATGCTCTTCATTGCCCTGGGTGGGCTCAGGGCTTCAGGGCTGGAGCCCTGGGAGTGCAGGTAACAGCAGATGTCAATAGTGGTGTTTGCCTCTCATAACTTTGTGAGGGCTCTCAGTGGGTTTTTTGGTTTGTTGTTGTTTTTTTGTGTGTGTGTTCCCTGAACTGTACTGCTTTCTCTATGGAACGTTACAAATATTGGCTGCAATCAGGTGTAATCAATATGAGTGCAGAGTATGGATCAGAGCATGTTTTAAAGCTCTGGTCAGGACAGACATCTGTGAGCCTGCAGAATTAGACATTTCATGCATCTGCACAATAACTCACCTTTTTTGGCGGAAGGTTCAGAGACTGAAAATAATCAAAGCTTTAATTTCATTTGCTATCACCAGGGACTTTGTGTGTGTGTGTGTCCTTTCCTGCATGTCTAATCAAAAGTCCTATCTAGGAGCAATACTGCAATGTAGATTTAAAAGCAGATTGATGCTCTTGTCCTCTGGCCTCACAGGCAGATGAATTCTTTATTCATCTTTATTCTGAACTTCATATGAGCAACTTTGAAAAGAGGAGCAGCATTTCAGCTAAGCCTGGTTCCATTAATTTTGGCATAGAGGATAACATGCAAGGAAGCCTGAGAATCCACTTGGGATCATCTTTTCCTATTATGTTGGTAGCAAACCTTTGTTCTTTTTATTACTCATTATTCTGGATCTGCAGTCAATAATGTGAGGAGAAGCATGAGTCTGCCACACATCAAGTTTTCTGCTGCCTTTTCAAGTGACATTCTCCTTAGATCACTGTTGTGTAGGCTTATTCCTTATCAGCAATGAATGCTGTGTTGTTCATATGACTGCACATCAAACAGATCTGCAGTAGCTGTCTCTTGTGCTCCCCTGACAGTGGTACATGTATCTACAAAGACATTTTCTGAGAGCCCTCTCCCCCTCCTTCTCCTCACAGAATAGAAATCTGGATGGTAGAGCCTTTGGAAACCACCTGGGTATTTATCCTGCTGCCTTTCCCTTGCTGAATTTTGTTTTCTGTTCTGACTCTAAGGAGCTTGGGTATTATTTAGGTATTTCAAACTAACCCACATACAGTCAGGTTCTTAGAGTGGAAGTCAATAAAAGACTAAGACTGATGTGAATGGATAATTCATCAGCTGCATATAACTCCACCCAAACTATCCTGAATTGCATTTAGCTGCTCTTTGCATCACAAACTTCCTTTGCTTTTTATTTCTGTGTGTGTTTAACACTGTCCAGGTTCAAGGGACAGTGCACTCCTGTACTTGGGTCAGCTGGGAAGGTGAACTCCAGGTGGGACTTAATTCTTGTTTTATCACCCAGGGATGAAAAAATGGTGAAGTTTCTGTTTGTGAGACTGGACTTGAAGTCCATGTGCCCTGAGAATAAGGGTGGAGAGAAGGTTCTTGCCTTGCTCCAGCAAACCCATGGAGCTGTAACTTTGCTGTAGGAACGTAAAGCCTGCACAAGGTGATGGGAATGTGGAGCTGGGAGCAGTGAGGAGGGAAGGCCTGAGTACCTCTGGCTCTGCCTTCTGAGCTGGAGCATCTGAGGCCATTGCTCAGGCTCACAGGAGCTTGTGAAGCATGAAGAAAACTGTGCAGAAATGTAAGTTCAGTGTAAAGATACCATGGATCATAGAGCTATTGAAAAAAACCAAACACGCAAACAAACCCAAAAGCAAAAAACCTAGCACAAATCTGCTGTGCTCTGTTGAAAGAGAAAATCATCATCCTTATTTTTCAATCTAGTTAGGTAATGGGGGGAGGAAAAAGGCAAAACAAAAAGGCACTGAGGGCAGCAGGCACAGCACAAAACCACGTAAACTTTTCCTAGTGGGTTGGTTGGATTTTCCTGGCACAGGACAGTTCCCTGAACTGTTTCTTTAGCTACAAAGGTCCTTTTCTTTTCTTCTAGAAATGGCACTTGAAAACTGAATCTTTTTTTTTTTTTTATCTCTGTGTTTAAATTTGGATATGACTTGACCACAGTGAGCAGATGCCATTGGAGATTTTCCTGGCTGATTCCTCTCCAAAGCAGTGTTCTGTGAGGGAATGGCAATTCCCTGCTGCCCAGCCTGGCACTGCTGCTGGCTCAGGTTATTAGAATAACCCCATGGATATTTGTGACCACTCTCTCCCAGTGGAAAAGGGAAACCTTTTCTGTTCAGTACCTGTGGATTGCTGTCAAAGTCCTCTAAACACAATGGTGGGCAGCACTGGAGGAGAAGGAGGAAGATTTTTTTGTGGCTACAGGCTCTGAGTAATTCCAGGGCATGATAAAACCTGTGGAGTGGAAATATGGATGCTGGATTTCACTGTAGAGCCCAAATCTTTCTTTGTCTCTTGTTACAAGCAGCCATATCCCCCTCTGCTTGGGCTCACTTTGTAGCAGCTTTACCCAAATGAGCTTTACCCATTTGAAATGTGGTTGTTGTTTTCCCCATATGAAAGCAAGCAAGGCTTGGAGTGACCAGAACCCCCTGGCACCAGCACAGCCAAGGGACAGCAGCACCAAGAGGACCAGGGCTGCTTTCACTCTGTCATGCATGAAAGGGAAGAGGGGGATCTCGGAGACACCGGTCCAAAGCCTGTCTCAAACAGGCAGGCAGGCATCTGCCTGCAGAATTACATCACCCAGCTGCCACAGCAGCGCTCACGGCGTGTGAGCTCCTGCAGTTGGGAGCAGGCTGATGAATAAGGGATGAAGGGGGGGTTTGTGAATGCTTCCACTGAGCCGTGGGCACGCAGGTGTGCTCCTCCCGTGAGGATATTTGGGACGGGCAGGCAGTGCCTTTGGGGAGGTTTGGTGGGATTTAGCTCTCCCACCCAGCCTGTGTGTGCCGGCTGCTCCTGACTCTTTCCATTCATTGCATTGCACAAGAGTTCGCTCCTACAGGTCAGCCTTGCTGATGATTTTAGCCAAAAATCTGCTCCTTGAATCGATTCTTCAACAAGGTGCTGATGGGAGCACACAGCTTCTGTCCCAAAAAGCTTAGAAAGTGTCAAATCCTTTGAGGAGGGGTTTAAAAAGATTAATCATGCTTTGTCTTCCACCTTCCCTTAGCTTGTAACAGGGAAAAGCGCTCAAATGGAAGGTTTGGGAGCTTTAACACTTTAAGCCCCAGGAGGGCAGGGTGCTGTTTAATTTTAATCTGGCTCGAGGCAAGGCTGGAGTCTCCTGTGGGTGATTATTGCAGTGTTTATTTGCTGCGGGCTGTTGTGAAGGGCTCGGCTACAATGCCCAGCTTTGTTTTTCTCCTGCAGCAAGTGCTGTGTTAATGGAGTTAGTTCAAGAGTAGAGTTTTAATCATCTCTTCAGCACGTTTTGGGTGTTTTACCCATGTGGTGCAACAGCCGAGGGGAAGGTGTTGAACAGAGGGATGGCTCTGTGCTGTGGGTTAGAGAAGTTAGTGCATCTGTTTTACTGTGAGGCACTGGCACAAGTTGCGTTCAAAGCCAGCTTGGATAGGGCTCTGAGTAACCTGATCTAGTGGAATGTGTCCCTGCCCATAGCAGGGTTTGGGACAATATGAACTTTAAGGTCTCTTCCAAGCTATTCTATTTCTGCAGGACTGATTCGCCACCCTCCCCTCCTACCCCCCCTGCTTCCTAGAAGTGCCTTTTTCAAGTAGGATTTCTGCTGTATAATTTGAGCAAGGGCTCAGCCGCGAGAAAACGATGACAGCTTTGTTCCCCGTATAGCGGATAATGAGGTGTTGGAGGCAGATAGCTCGGGATTCGTGTGTGCAGCGCCTGCCCAGCTCATTGAAGGGCGGCAGCGCTCAGCGCCTTCCTCTCCTCCCGCAGCATCTAAATGGGCTTCTTGTCGGGGCATATGGCAAAAGGGTTAACATTTAATTGGAAAACACAGTGCTAGCTAGCGGGGCTTAACAGAGCTTTATATAAGCTGCTAAGGACAAGGCTGCTGTGTGAGCTGCCGGTCGGGCTGAGCTACTGCAGCCGCTGGCTGGGCGTCAGGAGCCGGGGCATGCCTGGGAATCTGCCCAGGAAGCGCCGTGAAAGAGGAGTTTGTTTGAAGGCTTGACCCTGGCTCTGCGCGGCAGAATAAAGCCGGGCAGCAGCCTCATGCCAGGCGTCTGAGCAGCGAGGCAGGCGCAGCATCCAGCGGAGGCAGCGGCCGATGGCTCCGGTGCTGATGTGCGGCGTGGAGGATGTGCTGCTCGGCGGCAGCCGCCTGCTCTGGACCCTGACCGTGGCCGCGCTGCGCCGCTGCTACTCGGCCCGGCTGCGGGCGTGCCGCCAGGCGCTGCGAGCCTGGTGCGGCCTCCGCGATGTCTACCAGGTAACAAACACACCCAGCTCGGCGTCCCGGCTTTTCCTTGCAGCGGCGTCCCGGCTTTTCCTCGCAGCGGCGTCCCCGCACCTGCCCCGCTGCGTGTTTGTTCTCTCTGCGAAGTGGCTGCGATGGGGTGAGGAGCATCGAGGCAGCACCGCAGGGTCTCCAACTGGCTCGGAGCTGGTCCGGTGTTGCTTTCTAAGTGCTGGGTCTCTGCCTGCATTCAGGGGTTGGGGGGGATGCTTTCTGTGCCAAGTGTGTTTTGTCAGTCAATCCACAAGTGTTTTGGCCAGGTGCCCCCCATATTACACCCCTGGGAGCCCCTCTTGCTGCTGTCACCATCGTTGCCCTCGGGATTTTGGGGCAGAGCTCCGGGAGCTCCTCTCTGCCTGTGCCCTCTCCCATGGGAGACACCGGCTGTGGCTTTTTCTGCCGTGTTTGTGTCACTGAATAGCGGCAGCTTGTAAGGTGATAGTCCTGTGCGTGGCAGAGGGATTGCTGCAGTGGGTCCTGGCACTGCAATTGGGGGGCTCCCCTTGAGCACAGCCCCGTACTTGCAGTCATTGAGGTGTCCAGTTGCAGTGAGGGTGGTGTCACTCCTTCTCGAGTCTGTTTTTGCTGGCCGGTGTTTATTTCTGTGTGTCCATGTTTCTGTCTCGCATGTGAACTTGTGCTGCGTGCCTGCTCTCAGCCTCCCTGTGTGTGTTTGCTGCACCAGGGTGAATGTTTCAAAGCAGCTTCTCCCCTCTCCCCGGTGTGTTGCAATACAGAGAGTGGCACAGCTCATAGCAAACAGCTCTCCAGAGCCACGAGGATGCAACTTCCCTGGGAAAGTCCTCATGCTAAGAGGACATCTGTGCCTGGTTAATCCTAAGGTGATCTGCTGGTATTTAGCTTTAGGGAGGGCTCAGGAGTGGGAGAGCAGCTTTGCAGTGCTAAATGTACCAGTGCTCGAATGTACTTGGGCAGATGATGTATGGAAGCACTGTGGGGTGTGTCTGACACAGGTGTCACTGTGGATAGGGATCCATACAGGGATCATGGCTAGTTAGGGAATGCAGGAATAAAGGTGTCATTGCTCTTCCTTTGCCCACCTTTACTGACCTGTGGGGATGTGGTGGGAGGCAGCCCTGACTCTCTTCTTCCTCTCTAGCTACACCTGTGCTGTGTGGGTGTTATTTTCAGGTCCATTCACATACAGAGCATGCAGCCTAGACTGCCTTCCCTCCCCACTGCATCCCCATGGAGGTAAAATCCCATCCCTCCAGGGCTGGAATAAAGACTCAGCGAGGACCAGCTCAGACAACAGCTGTATTCAGCCTGTTCATCATACTCTGATGGCTGGCTTGAGGTGAAAAGAGATTTTTTCCATACAAAGTGTAGCTGTATCTCTGCCCAAACTTACTGTGTCCTAGTGGCTGCTTTGTCTTGTCCTTTTTTTATGAAAAGCATCACTGACCTGTGCCAGTGTCTGAAAGTGGGGATGTGAAAAGAGGAGATTGGTTCTTCTCTCATCCTACCAGGCAGACCTTGAGCCAGGGAAGTGGACAGGGAGTGCCCCTTCCCCTCTGCCCACAACTTGTCCTGCTGGGGACATGCAGGGACCTGTTGCTCCTCACCTGCTGCTCTGAGAGTCTTCCCTGGGAGGTGAAACCTGGCAGGAGCAAAGCAACTCTCACATTTTAACATCAGGAATTTGCCAGTGGTAATTTGGGGTGTATTAAAGTGAGATGGCTGAAGGAATGCCCTGCAGCCCTTCCTTTTTGGGTTGTGTAACACTTTGCTTCTTGTGCTGAAGTCTTGGCTCTCAGCTGCTCAAGCCTCTGGCTGAGTCCAGTGAGTGCAGGACTGAGCACACAGCGTTAAAGGTCACCCAACTACTCAGATATCTGAGCCTTGCAGGAATCAAATTGGTTTTCTTAATTTTTTGAGCACTTCAGGCTATGGAAACAGCTAGAGGCAGTGGCTGGGTGACCCCTGCTTACAGGGAGGAACTCTGAGCCTCTCTGGGCAGTGCAGAGCACTCCTTGGGGTTGTTTCTCTGAGGAAGTGGATGTTGCAGTGTCTGTGGGACAGGGCTCTAATCTTGGGTGTGTGATTTTGTGTCTCATCATTATCACTGCATTGTCTTGAGCAAATTGTTCTCCCCTGTTCCCCTGTTCTTTGTGGAAAGGGTATAGCAGCACTCCTACCTGACAGGGATGCTGTTTGTCCTCTCAGATTTTTTCCCCAGAAGTCCTGTAGTTATTGCAGCCACATGAAAGCACCTTTTAGCCCTGTGTTCCTATTGAAATTAACTCCTGGACAGGTGCTTAAACATTTCCCACCCTGGCTTCGTGGACTACACTCACATTTCTGTGGCTCTTTTGCATTCATATTCCAGATGTGAAAAATACCACAGGTTTCATACAGAGGTTTTTGTGGCTAAACTTGGGCTTTTCCCCTCTCTGAGGGGTTCCTTGAGGGTTCCCTGGACTGTGCATGATGTGACAGACCAGGACACCAGGCAGAGCTCAGTGCACTGAGCTGCATGCAAGGGATGAGCAGGGCAGGGTGAGGTGACAGGCACTTGTGCTGCTGATCAGCCCTGGAAGCCTCAGTTTGCTTTGAGCAGTATTTGGGAGTCACATTTTGTGGGCCAGTGGCTCTTTTTGTGTGAGTTGGATGCTGCCAGCAAGTCTCTATTTCATCACCAGTACATTTTTGTGGAGAAAGGAAAGCAAGTAGGATTCCTTCTCCTTGGGGTGGCACATGGGCTATTGTGGTGAGGGGGATTTTTAGTCTTTTTAAAACACAAACTGCCTGGTAGCCTGGTGGGAGAGCTGAGCCCAAGCTGCAGCTCAGAGAAGCCACAAACACCTCTGTGTGTCTGAGCAGGGTCCCAGCTGTGTTTGGGAGCTGGCAGGTGCAGAGGTGGTCACGGGGCAGGCTCAAATCCTCTCTGCCAGCATAAAGCCCTTACCTGCCTTAGCAGCTTTAAGCACAACTAAAACCCACCCCAACAAGCACAAACCAGCCTTTGTCAGTCACCTTCCCCTTAGCCTTTGTGTTTCTGGCATGTGTATGTGGGAAACCTTTTCCAGGGTTTCACCTGGGCACAAGGACCTCAAACCCAGCCCAGGAACTTCCCCAAGCTGATCCTTGCTCCAGGATGCTTCCCATCATCTGTCCCACCTGCCAGGAGAGAAGAGATGTCCTGTTTGCCCAGAGCCCTTTCATCTGGAGGAGGTTGTGAGCCAAAGCACTGCTGGGGTTTCCCGTTTCACTCTGAAATAACCCCAAACCCTCAGGAGGGGAGAGGCTGCCCAGTGTGAGAGTTGATTCTCTGAGCCCTTGGCTTCTGTGCCAGGGAACATTGTCTTGTCCATGGCAGGGAGCATTTCAAGCCTGTCCTAGAAATAACAGATTTCCAGAGACAGCTGATGGAAAAGCTGGCACAGGTTGTTTTTCTAACAGCAGCAAGTCAGTATGAATTATTGGGGCTGTTAGGGAAAGTTCCTGGATGAGAATTTGGCATAGAAACCTTTACTCAAGGGTTCCCTTTTCCTACCAGAGAAAGGACTGAGGGCTGTATTTGGTTGTGGAGCTCTGGCACATAGTGCTGTGGCTTTAGGGGGTCTTCCCAGAGCCCCTCCTGATGCCTGAGATGGGACAACATGGCATTTCTAGGTGTCCTGATGCTATTCCCAAAGAAAGCTTTCTGCAGGACCCTCCACATGCTGGGTTTATAGGCCACCTGTCTTAGATTTAATTATAGGGCAGTAAAACAAAGTGAAATTTTTATATAAATGAGGTTAATGAGCAGCTGCAAGGCCAAAGACTTCTAGAATCAACATTTATCTTGTATTTAGTTACCTACATTACCTCTGGCCTGGTATTTATTGGGGTACTGACACAAAGTTTTCCTCTGAGATACCATTGCCACTTGCCACCAGTACATCCCACAACACAGTGATTCCTCAGTGTGGGTAAGCAGGAATGGGACATGGCATCAAAGTCTATTTAATGATGCAGCTAACTCTTATAAATTCAAAACTGGTCAAGTGAAAGGTTTAGGGTCAGGGTTGAATGTGTGTCAGTCAGTCTGCTCCACACAAAGTGGTAAAAAAAAATGGGAAAACTGTTTCCAAACTCCCTGCAGAATACAATGGCACATTGAGATTGATCTGCTGGATATACAGACAGATGTGGGAGCATCTCTGTGATTAAGCAGTTTAGGAGTAACTGAAATTGCCAATTGCACTGGTAATTACCTGATAAATTACAGCATAACAGTGTGAACTTTTCATATGGGTCTTTTGGACAAAGTGCTTTTTAACCTCTGAAAGGTCATTTCCTCTGCATGAAGTGAGAAATGTTGCTGATGAAGCACAAGAAATCAGCTTTGTCCGTGTGTCTGGCCCGTGGTACCTGGGGTGGGAGAGGAAGTGGCTGCCTTGTGTTTCCTCCAGTGCTAACGTAGTTGGTTTGGACAGTGAGCACCATGCTTCCTCTGCTGCCACACCTTAACTTTCCATTATGAAAAGTGCTGACAACAAATTGAGATGCCTTTTTTTCCCTTCTCTTTTCACCATGATGAAAAGCAGTGCTGGAGTGTGGTGAGGGAGAGCACAAAGCTGGGGCTGTGTTGTCAGGGCAGGACTTTGTTCCACACCAGACAGACCCCAGGAGTGATGCTCAGCACAAGCATCTCAAGGTGTTCTTGCAGGTCAGGGCTTTTCAAAGGGAGCTTGAAAACCTTTTTAGAGGACACTGAATATATGTCTGTGTTCCTTCAAAGATTTCACCTTGTGCACTGGGGATTACTGGTTACCCTGGAAAAGGTTTGCTCTGGCTGCTTTCATCCATCCAGCTGTTTTTCTTTTTGAAGGGATCTGATCTAATGCAGTGATGCTGCTCCTATGCCACCTGCAGAGCTCCCATCGTGTCCAAAGCTGGCACAGGGAGGTGTCCCCATGGCTGGGACTTTGGGGCACTGCCTCCTGACAGCTTAGAGTTAAACTTGG